TGTTTTAATTATATGAGTAGCATGTATTATTTTTTTTAAATTATCATATATATGTAAAGAATTCTTTTTTTTTTTTGTTTTTTAAATGTGTGATTTGTATCTCTTGAAAGTTTTTTTTTTCCCTTCCACCCTTTCCCCCTTTTTTTTTTTTTTTTTTTTTTATCTTTCCCAATTTTTAAGCCTATAAAAGTGTTTTTTGTGTGTGTTTGGAGAAAAAACTTAAAAGCTTTCAATTTTTAGCTGATTTTTTTTTATATTCACCCTATGATATTTGTTGTGTATTTTTTTAAATTGATTGTTGAAAATTTTGTTTGGAATATATTGAAACAAAAACAAAAAAAAAGATATATATTTTTTGAGTGTATTTATATATATGAAAAAAAGTTGTTAAATAAAAAAAATTGTTATCCAAAATTCTGTTTTTTTTTTCATGCAGTCCATTGAACTGATGAAACATGACAACACGGAAGCTTACTGTTTTTAAATAATAAAAATAAACTTTTTACAAATCATTGTTTTGTTGTTTAATGTTAATGATATGGCACCAAGGTAGTTTGTTAAAAATACCATGTATAGAATCATTACTGGAAATTTATTTTAATTCCTGATATTACACCAGTATAACCTCTTTTTTTTTTTTTTCTTATCCCCAGTACATGTGGTACAGGCCATGATAATCATGGTGGGTAGAAGTAGGCGACTGCTTTTACTGTAAGTGCACCACATGTCTACACATGTACCAGTTCGACTTTGCACTTACAAATGTGCCAGAGCCCCATTTGATTACTTGCACTTGCTGGTGGGGTTGGACTTTTGCAAGAATCGGGGGGCCATTGGGGCATTTTTTTTTTAAATCGATATGATAAAGCCCAATTTGGATTATAGATTATAATAAATGGCATTTATTCTTTTGTCTAATGATGGTGACAATGTTGTTGCCGAAACGTCCACACTAATAAATTATTTGGATTAGGTCTTATTACCTTGTATTTTTAAATACAGGTTGTACGATCAGGTCGTAGCAGTCAAAAACCAACGGTTTAGGCAACCTTTTCACCGACCCCCACTATAACCTTTAATTTAACCAATAATAATTCAACACTTACATTAATTCAACAATTTTTTTTTATCAATCAACCAATTTACTTTAATTCAACTGAAAATTCTGTTTCTTCTGTGTGTGTTGAATAAGAAATTGAACTGTATTTACACTCATGGATAAAACTTAAGGAAGTAAAAGGTCTTTGATGTTGTTGGTTGTCTTATTTTTTCATACTACCCATCACGTTTACTAGGGATAATAATTGCTTTATAATATATAATAAACTAATAATAATAATAAACTGCTTTTCACATGTGTAGACATGTGGTGCATTTATAGTAAAAGTAGTCGCCTACTTCTACCCACCATGATTATCATGGCTTGTACCACATGTACTAGGGATAAGCAAAAAAAGTAATAATAATAAAAGTTAGTTCATAAATGTAGTACATCCTCTTGATGTAGTACCTTCAATGTGTTCTTCAATCAATAATAAAAGAATATAAGACCTAATCCAAATAATTTATTAGTGTGTGACATTTTGGCAACAACATTGTCACCATCATCAGACAAAATTGTTGACAAAAAAGTTATCATTTTGTCTGATGATGGTGACAATGTTGTTGCCAAAACGTCACACACTAATAAATTATTTCGATTAGGTCTTATATTCTTTTATTATAATCTATAAATCAAATTGTACTTTATCATTCAATTAATAATTTTGTTAGCTATCATCATGTTTTAGTACATATGAACTCTTTACAATTCAATCTTCACATTTCTCAGTATTTTAGTGAGGTTCACTTTCCTGCTGGTCATTGGTGACACCTGCATTATACCCAGTTTCTATCATGGTAATTTAGTGGATAATTACATAGTATATTAATAATTATTGATTGATTGAAAACTATAAAATCTAATATGTAAATAAACACAAGGTAATAAGACCAAATAAATAGTGTACAACCTTTCAGAAACAGCATTTTTACCATCTTGAGACAAAAGTTATGAAGGAATGCAAAATATTGAAGATGGTAACAATGCTGTTACAAAACATCACACACTTTTATTTATTTGGATTTGGTCTTATTTCCTTGTGTTTATTTTGAAACTATGTAGATAAAATAGCTTGAACATCAACAAGCAAATATCTACATAGAATATAGCTATGAAAAAAGGCATCTCCTTATCATGCAACTGAAAGTTGCTGATGGCTTGCGCCATCTATCAGAATAAATATCAACTATTCTCGTTGATTTTTAATTATTCCAGAATTATTCCAGAATAGTTTATATTTATTCTGATAGATGGCGCAAGCCATCAGCAACTTTCAGTTGCATGATAAGGAGATGCCTTTTTTCATAATTATGCACCTTATCCCAGTACAATATCACATTTGTACTATAGTGCCTAGTGGACATGGCATCTGCTCGGTAAGCGGAACATTGTGGGTTCGATTCCCATCCCTGGACACTTTTATTTTTCCGTTCATCATTACTCTTCATAATTCACCCTTTCATACCTCATCCAAAAAGGTTAGAAATAGTCAATATTTCACCTTGAAATAAATTTTGATTTTTCATTGAAAAGAAACTCATGCGGTGTAACTTCAAGTGTCGTTTTACATTTGTACTATTTTTTCATAGAATATAGCATGTGTTTTGTGTAATAAATAAACTACACCCAATATTATTAACTAACATCTTCGACACAAGGCCTTCTCCAGCAATTTGAGATTTTTGGCTGATGGCACCCATCCTTACATCACTCC